GCTTACCAGCCATGAAAAGCTGTTCCTCAACCTGTTCATTTATCATGGACTAACATCATTAGCAGAAAAAAACCATCATAAGGAGCCAAAGATTTAAAGATTGTAGGTTTCAAAACAAAAACCTTAAAAATTGATAAAATTCACATACCTACTTGTCCTCTGATGGATCTTTTCCACTTGAAAATTTGGAAAAGAATGCCATTACTCTGTTTCCCAGAGGAAACAGTTCTGGGCCGCTGAAAGAACAAGTTTGATAACCGCTGAACTATGTACACATTGTAGAACTGTGGCAGTAATAGCTGCAATTTGCCACGAGGTGGGGGTGTTGCTAAAAGTGATAGTCTTGCTTAATTTGTGGAGACTGTTGTAGAAAATGGGAGGTATTTGCCCTTCTGGACTTAGATATCATATACAATGATGATAACACCAAAAATACATTAACAAGTGTGAGAAGTTCTTAAATGCAGACTTGGAGACACAGATGAAGTAGGTTGCTATCTCTTTTAAAGGTAAAATTTCTCTTTATGGAAAACAGGAACTTAAATAAGTAGCACTATTATGTGATTTGAAGCTTTTATCATCTTACCTAGAGTTATATATTATTATTTGTAGTTTATGAGACAGCTGTTTATTTGAAGGTAGGACCTAGGAACATGCCTTAAAAAATTTAAATGTTCAAAGCAGGTGGTCATCTGCCTACACTTTGATGAACACTTCTCAGTGTAATAACTCAATCTTACATTTTGGTGAAGGATCCCTTTGAAGAATCAATTAAAGCTTTGGATTTTATCACACATCATATTAGATTTAATATCATAAGATTCATGGATTTCAAAGAACCACCATTGTACCTACCATGACAAGAGGATGGCACAGGGTAGGGCTAGATGGATTCTTGCAAAACTTAAATTCTGTGATCTCAAGGTTCTAAGCCAAGAAGAAAAGTGGAAAATTTGGGGATACACACTGTGTTTGAATGAGAATGATGAGAAAGCAGATGTTGTATGTATATAGGGAGTGGCATAAGAGGGCAAGTAGAAGAGGGGAGGGTATAGCTCAGTGATAGAGTTCATGCTAGGCATCTATGAGGTCCTGGGTTCAATTTTTTTAAGGAAAAAAAAAAGAGAGAGAGGGCAAGTAGAAAAGGTCCTAAAAAGTAGAAAGAGAGGATCCCTCTTCCTCTAATGTACTATATTCCTCATTCCATCTACTTTCTTATCTCTTTCACCTTTGTGCCCCTGTACATGTGTAAATCTCTTAAGATTCATCTTAATAAAACACTTTGAGAACTCGAAGTTTCAGTTTTTTTTCTGAACTTGAACCACTCTGGCAAGTGAAATTAAGATTTCCAAGGATTGAAAACCATAATGAAGAGCCCTGAGGAAGTTAGAGGTGACTTTGTGTGAGTACACAGCCTCTCTGCCGTAATTTCCTCAACTGTAAAATGGGAATGGTAATCACTGCCCAGCCTAGACTGCAAAGACTCTTGTGCAAATCAAATTAAAAAGTGTATGTGAGACTGGGACATTGTGCTGTACACCAGAATTGACATATTGTAACTGACTATACTTCAATTAAAAAAAAACTATATGTGAATGTGTAAGTTCTGATGTGCCATTCAGATGTTAGGGTCTATCATGTTGTAAGCTGTTCTCAATATGTTACTTCAGTAATATTTTGGGGTATGAGTAATCATTGTGCCATTAATATATCGGGAGGATAAAATTTAATGTTTTTTGGGGATAGTGTGGCAAATAGGAGGGAATAGCATTATAACCTCCCACTATACCAGTGGTCCTCAGCCAACATTAGAATAATCTGGAGAACCTTTAAAATACTCTAAATGCACAGACAGAAAACAAACTATGGTTACCAAAGGAGAAAGGGGTAGGGAGGAGGGATAAATTAGGAGTTTGAGATTAACAGATATACACTACTATATATAAAATAGATAAACAACAAGGACCTACTGTATAGCACCAGGAACTATATTCAATATCTTGTAATAACCTATAATGAAAAAGAATCTGAAAAAGAATATATATGTGTGTATATTTGCAACTGAATTACTTTGCTATATACCTGAAACTAACACAACATTGTAAATCAACTACACTGCAATAAAAATAAACTTTAAAAAATACTCTAAATGCAATGTTGTGTCCTAAATTGGATCCAGAAGCAGGAAAAGGGAGTTGGTAGAAAAACTAATGAAATCCAAATAGTATCTGTAGTTTAGTTAATGGTAAATCTTAATTTCTTAAGTTTTGATAAATGGACCATGGTTATGTGAGATGTTAGCATTAGGGTAGACTGGGTGAGAGGTATACAGGAACTTCTGTACTAGATATACAACTTCTATATAATTCTAAAATTATTTCTCAAAAATTATTTAGAGCAAAAAACAATTTAAAAAATAAATATACCTATGTCTGGATGTCACCCTAGATAGGTGAATTGGAATCCCTGGGGAGGTGTCTGGGCATCTGTGATTTTGAAATCTTCCCCAATGGTTCTAACATACCGTGAGGATTGAGAACCGCTGTTCTACACCATGAATGCTTGAAAAACAGGGATCCTGTCTTGTTTTTCACTATAGCCTAGTACCTAGCACGATGCCTATATGAAGAACTTGCATAATTGTGCCCTTGCTAAATCATTCCTTTATATGCAGAAATCTCCTTTGAGTCCACTGTAATAAGAGAAGGGAAACTGAAAATAAACCATCACCCCCCAAATGCCAGGGAAGATTTTCGGGCATCCTCCTACTCAGAATAGTTCCTACTCCTGCCCCCAGTCTCTTGTCATTTTCAGCTAATCCTGACCATTATCACCAGATAAATATTCCTAATATACTAAAACTGCCACTCCATTGTTCAAGTCATACTTGGTTTCCCATCACCTAAGTAAATAATATACTTCTTAGCTATGCAAAATTCCGTACACTCTAATAATATAATAATAACTGTTAGCCTACTAGCCTGCTATTATTCCACATGGACCCTGCATTACCTGTAGGGGTTCTGCATGCAATTTCCTTGACTATGTCTTGAATTCATCCTTCTCTGTGTCACGTACAGTAATGCTGCTATCCTCACCTGTAATACAAATCCTCTCCGCCTTTCAAGGCTCCACTCAGCTGTAATTTTGTCAAGTCACTCCAGCAAAAAAGTGAGCATTCCCTCTGTTATATCTTCTATTCAAACGGCACTAACATTTACTATCTTCTTTTGTAATTATTTGTTTTCTGTTTTATTCCCCCATGAAACTAGACTAAAGCCCTAGTGGGCAAGGACTATGTGTTATAGGTCTTCTGACCCTCACAGTGCTTACTGTGATGCTGTCCACACAGTTAAACATGTAATCATGATTTAATGTACATTTTGCACAACTACAACATGTAAAAAGTAAAAATGGAAAATCAAAATTCAAATACACAAGTAAACCACATTCATCACTCCAAAAGTTCTTTGAAGGAGTCCCAGAATGATAAGAATTGTTAAAATTGTTAAGTTGTTAAAAGCCAACTGAAGCCTGAATAAAATTTTGGTGCTATTGTTACATTAATAATTGAACAGAGTTTACAAGAAAACTATATACTTCCCCAAATTTAATTGTTCATACTTGAAAATGGGAAAAGGGAAGGCTCAGTAATTAATTTTCCCCTAAGAAAAAACATTTCTTTAATTCCTAAGAGCAGGAAAATGATTAAGTCTGTTCCCACTACTATGGTCTCCCCAGTATACATATGCATACATATATACATGCGCGCACGCACACACGCACACACACACACACGCAGGATATTGTCTATGTGGTAGAGCCTGAAGAAAATATATTAGTTCTCTCAGATATGGTCTATATATGGGGGAAAAACACTTAAAATATTCATGAATATTGTAGAGATTTCTACCATATTTTGAGAAAATCACACATATAATGTACTAAGATGTGTATTTTGTTGAACAACTATGATGGTTGAACATCGTTAAAACAAAACATAACTATAGATGTCATTTTCTGGCTGAATCTCTTGAGGAACATTTGGAATCACTGGTATCTCTGGTTCTTCTGCTTTGGGTTTTTCCTTCATTTCTGTAAAACAAAATAAAATACAAAAATAGGTTCAATAAGTGGTATTGGGACAACTGGCTATCTATACGGAGAAAAAAACTACCTCACACCTCGCACAAAAAAATTTTCAAATGAAGATTTAAATATTAAAATAACATACATGCCATAGAGACAATAGAATGTCCCAATAATCTTAAGATTATAAAGGCCTTTTGAAGCAGAACACAGACCAGAAGCCATTCAGGAAGAGACTGACAAGTTTGAATCATTAAGAATTAAAATCATGACAGGTTTGAATAACTAAAAACTAAAATTAAAATTTTGTCAGATAGATTACCAAAATATTTCAAAGTTAAGCCAAAAAAATTTTTAATAAACATAAAAATAAAAAATAAAAAATAAAAAAATAAAATTTAATTTAAAAAAAGTTAAACCACAAACAACTAGAAATATATTTACAACTTATATGTAGGTAAAGGTTCAATAACTATTATTTAAAAAGATTTTTTTTAATCAATCAAAAAGATAGGTATCCTAAACATAACATCTGACAGGGATTCAAGCAGGCAATTCTCAAAAGAAAAAAATCAAATTCATAATAATTATAAAAAGATGCCTAGTAGCATTAGTCATCAAAAAAAGTGGGAATTAAAATAATTAGGTTGTTTTTTTTAACACAAAAGATAGGCAAAGATTTTTTAAAACATAATTATGTACAATGTTGGCAAGGGTGTGAGGAATAGGCACTTACATAAATTCTGGGTTTCTGTGAATTGCTACAACTTTTTGGAGTCTAGTCTGACAGAATGTATCCAGACTTTAAACGCTGGTACCCTTTGGCCCAGCTTCTAGGGCCAAACTTCTAGGGATTTATTTCTCCAAAGGAAATAATCAGAGAAACTTAAGCTTCCAGTGCCTTAGTTTCTTTATCTATAAAATGGGGATAATGTTATTCAGCCAATATGATTCTTAACATTAAATAAAATAGTTCAAATAAGATGTTTAATACAGTGTCTGGCAGATAGAAAGTGCCAAACAATTGTTAGTTAAATAAATGTTACTTCCAATGATGTTCATGGAACATTGTTATAATAGTAAAACTTGGTAGTAACCTAAGTTTTGATCATTATAGGGGCTGGTTGAATAAATTATTGTACATATGACATAATACTGTACAATTGTTTCAAAAGACATTATTAAGATGGCCACAATATATGTTGTATATGAAAAAAATAGGTTATAGAATAGAATGTATTGTACCATCTCATCTGTTAAAACAAAACAACAACTTAACATTGGGGATAGGAGAGGGTATCATAGGGGACTTTTATTCTACATTCACTTATATATTGCTGTAACTTATTATAATGAACATTAATAATTTTCATAATTTTATTATTTTAGTATATTTAATATTTATGGTTTTACTGTTATCTTATAATAATTTATGAATTATAATTGATAATAACATGATTATTATAATGAACATTTATAATCTTAAAGTTATGAAAATTTTATAATTACCAAAAAGATAGGTATTTCCACATGTTTACTAAGACTAAGCCAAAAACAAAATGAGCATTAATTAATTGCCCATCTTAACCTTGCTGGGTTTAGAATGAAACTCTTAGAATCAGGGTGTTGAATTGATTAGAGCAGCAGGAAACTCCTGTCAGTACAATGCTTCATATGTCTGCTTTTACTGTAATTTTATTTCCTCAACACCTGTGTTACTTGGACCCCAACTAACCCCAGGTTTTTGTTGCACTGATATTTTAGGAGAAAGAGTAAATAAGCTACCAGAGGGATTTCTTTAGAAAACAGTTCCTTGGGGCTAGCTGTGTTCTGCCAGACTCAATCCATTTCTTATACTGAGCACAGTAGTGTGCAAAGAGAACTGAGGCTCTCAGTTATGTCCCTGAGACAAGTCAAACCGAAGAAAGGTCACATTATTTTCAAAATTCTATGCTGAGGAGAAAGCTTTTCAGGAACAAATATTTAAATAGAAAGGGTTTTTGGTAAACGTAAGTCCTACAAGAATGAGTTCCCTAGTAGCAAAATCCTATTCTGTGCCTTTGTATCTCCCTCAGTACCTTGGAGCATGAATTTATTTGCATTTAGTTTACCAGGAAATTTTAATTTTCAAGAAAGACTTCATTCACTAAGCCTTCTTGCTAATCTAAATTTAATTGTCCTTTAAAGTATTTTGCACATAATTCACCCTGTATGAGGTTCATTTCTCTTCACTGGCTAAAGCTTCCCAAAATGGATAGTGTGTACACACTATACATGATTATAGTTTCAATTATTTTCTTTTAATTATGAAAATATACCAAGCAGATATTGGTTGAATGAAAAACATTTTTCACTTGAAACTAGACAGGGACATTAATGATATCCCTTTGAGATAATGGGGGATAACCCAGGATAGTCAAAAAAAAGGCTATAAATTACAACTCTGAGGGAGATACACCTATACAGTGCTCTGATTATGACCTGGGAACACCTATAAGTGGCAGCATCACTGACTTGTCCCCAGTAAACAACCCCTACCTTGAGGAAAAGTAGAAGCATCCTTAGCTTTTTCCTGGTGTGCTTTAGGATCTTCGTCTTGGGGCCCACCTGTTTCTTCATATGGCTCTGGAAAGCATTCTTTAGGCACATCCTTATCTTTACATGTCTTAGTAGAGAGGTCTTCAGGCCCAGGTGTTTCTTGGTATATATCAGGTACAGGGTCTTCAGATCCAGGTGTTTCTTGGTAGGTTTCAGGTGAATATTCTTCAGATCCAGGTATTTCCTGGATTGTTTCATGAGAGGGGGCTTTAGGCATAGCAATTTCTTTGTAAGTTTTATGAGAAGAGTCTTCAGGCTCAGCTGTTTCCTGGTATGTCTTTGTAGACAGCTCTTTAGGCACAGCTATTTCCTGCTGTATTTTAGGAATGAAGCCTCCAGTTTCAGCTATTCCTTGACCTGGTTCAGACTTGTGTTCCTCAGGTTCAGCTCTTTTTTGGTACATTTCAAGAGTGTAGCCTTCAGGCACATCTGGTTTGGGGTATGCTTCAGGAGAGCATCCTTCCAGGACAGCCATGTCTTCAGATGTTTTAGAAGAAAGGGCTGCAGCAGCTTCCTGGCACATTTTGGGAGAGAGGTCTTCTGGTTCAGCCATATCTTGGTGTATTTCAGAAGGGTGGGTTTGTACTGCTGTTTCTTGGTACTCAGAAGAATTTTCCTGATGGATAATGCTTTCTTGACCTATTTCAGAAAAATGTTTCTCAGGCACAACTCTCTGGGGCAGGGATCCCAGAAGGAGAGCTTCAGTCTCACTCCCAGGTGGCTCAGCTTCTTTCTCTATAGGTGCTTTCTCCGACACTTCCTTTTCTAGTTGTGATGGAGGCTCCACCTTCATTTCTGTATTCTGTTGTCTCTTTCTGCCTCTTTCATTTCTTTTTCCTGTTCTCTGCCGCTTGTGTTTTTTCTCTCTATGGAGAAATCAGAATTGGTGTCAGCAACAGGGCTATGGAATTCAAATAAATGCTAGGTAATAACAGTCCCAGGTCTCCCACTGCCTTGCATAACCTTGAACAAGCACTAAATCTCTCTGGGCCTCAGTCTCCTTGTTTGTAAAATGAAGGAGCAGTGCTAGACGTTCTCAATTGTCAGGAGAGGAAATGACCCTCAGGCTTTTTGTCTTTGATGCCTTTCTCAGCAGGAACCTTCTTGGTGAGCCATGTGTGTGTGGGTGGGTGTGTGTGTGTGTTTGAGAGCCTATACTTACACTTAAATTTTGGTTATGGAAAACGTGTCATTGATGTTATAAATGAATAGACTGGCATTCTGGTTTATATACTAGTGTCTTTGAGTTTAGTCTGTGTGAATTCGTTTCTCTATGCCCTGGGTAAACAAATACGATTGTGTTTCTAGATCTGCAGCCCAGCCCCGCTCTACATCTGTGCATCCTGCAGGTGAATGATGGATATGGCTTGCTCATCTAATACACTGTCTTGTGTAAAGCAGGTTAAGGAACTGCACTACATGTCAGATGAGGTGTGCTGTAAGCTGAGTCCAGAGCGTCAAAAACATTTTCTTGAGGTAAAGAATCTTGGTGGAAAGGCATGAGTGGTCATATTATACCTACTCTGAACTAGTAGTTAAAGATCTAGAAGAGGAAAGGATATGCATGGGACTTGCAGCCAATGACAAATTGTTAGGTGCTGCAAATATAACCAAATACAGATGGCTAATACAGATGGACTCAGGGGGGAGAAAAAGGTACTATAAATAAGCATTTCATCATTTTTATAAACCTACAGAAATTCTGTTCCATGCTACCTGCCCCATGGAGCCTTCTCTAACAGAACACAGGGCTGAAATGCTCTCCCTACTTAGCGCTCCTATAGGATGTATTATGATTATGCTTAAGGCAAAGAACATAGGCTGCCTCATCCTGTAGTCACTTACGGAGAAATTCTATTTCTTTTAGTAAACTAGACCTTCTTTGGAGATAAAACTAGTGTTTTTTATACCCCTGCAGTGCTCACAGTTCCCTGCACACTTAAAAAAATGTGTACCCTATTATATTTTTGTGATTTCAAAATTTTCTATGATTAAAATTGTTTTAAAGATTGCCTCATCAAAACCAGTTTGAAGTCAATATTAAAAAGGAATATATTGTAATACGAGAGTTAAAATGAATATTTAAAATAATATAGAAGGTAAAAACGATATTGGTACCTCAGCATTTTGAAGTTTAATTCCAAGTAACCAAGGTGACAAGATAAATTATAAAATCTTTATTGTCAGATTTTTAAAAAGATGATGTATGTGAATTCTTCAGGAAACACTTATTATTATCCTGGAAATTAAATCCTAAATAATTCGATATGTAGATCTCTATATGAGGGAATTTGAGTAATATAATGTCCCATGTTCTTCCTGGTAGTTTTTCAAAAGATACAAATATGTCTGTGTGACCTAAAATTTAATCTGTACTCTGTGACTTATCAGCTGTATGATCGGGGCAAGTCACTTAAATTCTCTATCCCTTGGTTTCTTCACAGGTAATATGGAATAAACCAACCTCATGTGGTTGTTGTAAGAATTGCACATAATAACTTACATGAATCAATTATCCAAATAGAAATTTATACTCTAATATTAATATAGGAAATATTTCCTATACGTGTTAAGTAATTTACTTATTGTGTTATCACATATAATCTTCACATCAACTTACGAGGTAGATACTATTATCTCCATTTTGCAGATGACAAAACTGAGGCACAGAGAGATTCAGTAACTTGGTGAAACTGCTAGGAAGTGAGGGAGCCAGTCTTCAAATCTAGTCATTCCGGCTTTGACAGCCAGGATCTTAACCGTTACACTCTGCCACTTCTCTCTGGAACTACAAAGGTTTCACTGTGCAGTGTGTTGCAGTGACAACAGCCCTCAGTAGTATAGAGATGTGTCACAAGAGCAAGGCCAGCCAGCTGCCAAGAGGCTCACCAAGGTGTCATTCACTTCAGTGACCTCTTCAGCCTTGACCCCCAACCCAACGAGCACAGAAACCCAATTCAATGAGCATAATGAGATCAGCTCCATTTATGAGGGGCAGAGCTCATCAACCAGCTCAAAGAGATGAATATGTACACCTAAACACCAAATTTTATTTGTTTTGTTTTTGTTCTTGTTTTTGTTTTTGGTGGGGTGAGGTAGGCGGAGGGAGGTAATTGGGTTTATTTAGTTAGTTTTAGAGGATGTACTGGGGATTGAACCCAGGACCTTGGCAAACTAAGCATGTGCTCTACCACTTGAGCTATTACCCTCCCCAACCAATTTTTAAATGAACAGTGAGAAATGTAAAGTCACAATACTTGGGCTAACAAATAAATGCACTCTTTCCCTGTAGCAAGTACTTGGGAAGCCAAGTAATGATCAGAAGGTTGCTTGGTGACTATGGAATTAGGGGCGCTAATAGGGTATTCTTCAATAGAGGTATTTGCCAAAGGACCTAAGGATAGAAGTTTCTGCTATAACATATATGCATTCCTGAAAAACCTCTCTGCAAAATCATACACTTAAAGTTACAGGCTTATGGGGGAAAAAATCAAGTTGGGGCAAATGACTCAAATCTTATGCAACTTTTTAACACTAACATAAGCAATAATTGGTACAGGGGAGAGAGATCTTGGATAGTCCAGACAGGCAGTTTACTATGGCTGGAGGCTGCCTCGGGGATTGTAAAAATGCACAAAAGCAACAGTGTAAATGCAGGCTTTCAGCACTGAGATCATGCAAATAAGGGTGGCACTCTGAGCCAGCAGAGCTGCCACTAAGTTGAGCAAAGGAGGAAGTGCAACCTGCTACATGCAGAGATCTTTGCGAGGCTGGTAATGTCCTTCTCTAGGGGTGGAGCCCGGATGTAGGCTGAAAAGGATCCTATCTATACAGCAGCCAAGCTGAAGGCTTTTTCCTTCCTGCTGAAGGCTTTAATTCTATTCCCACTATTCTGGCTTCTTTTTGACTAGGAAAAATTATAAACGAACACAACTTCCACATTATACTGACATCATTCTCCTATTTACCAGTCCTATGTAAGCTAACTGGTGTTGTAGAAACACGTGTTGTAACAGAACAGCCAGTACTCAGTCCACAGTGGGACTAGGTGCTTAAAATACATACCTGCATAGTATGTTTTTTTTTTAAATGATGCCTGGAAAATTGCTTACCTACATTATTTTTGCCATTGGAGGAAGAAACATTTTTGCAATAAGGAAGAAATACACATCTATATCTTAATCAAAAATTTTTTAAAAGAAGAGTGCTTATTTAGATCAGTGGTTCTCAACTGGGAGCAATTTTGCCTCTTTCTCCCCGAACCCCAGGAGAAATTTGAGAATGTCTGGAGACAGTTTTGGTGGTCACAACTTGGGGAGAGGGGAGTTCTATGGGCTTCTAGAGGCCAGAGATGCTGCTAAACATCTTCAGTGCACAGGACAGCCTCCCATACAAAGAATTCTCCTACCCACAGTGTCAGCAGCGCTGGGGTTAAGACACCGTGGCTTGGATGCTGTCCTTTGGCTCCTTGGACTCCCATTTTCTATCTCCAAGCAAGCAATACCTCTGTTTTCATAGTCATAGTCTAAATGGATACAGTTAGATGCTGCCTAATGTATAATCATGTTCTTGTACTCCCTCTCTGAGATTACACACAGCTGACTGGGGCCATTTAGGAACTCCCAAACTCTCATCACTCATTTGCACACAGTGTTTGGGTTTAGTCCATGGAGAGTCAGCCACATTCATTCAAGGATTTTACTAATAGAAAGCTTGGAGAACAAGCTTGGTCGGGGGTGGGGGCAGGGGTGTCTCTCCTCAATGGTGTCTCCCAATTCCAACAATAAGATGCTTCTATGGTTATATTGCCAGGGTGGTTGGACACCAGGCCTCTCTACAATACACATAGTTTGATCGCCTGGTGCTTTAATTAAAAGAGACCAGGGATACGATTCTGTTCCCACTACTGTACTAGCTGTGGGACTTTAGGCAAAAGATTTAACCCTTCAGAGACTTGGTTTTTCTTTCTTTCTTTCTTTCTTTCTTTCTTTTTTTCTTTCTTTTTTGTAAAATAAGGATAACAACTCCCGATTTATGGGATTGTTGGAAAAATAAAATACAGTATGTAAAAGTGCTTAGCATATGCTCGGTAAATACCAGTTCCTTTTCCCTCATGGGGATACTGTACCCAAATTGCCATTGTGAAGTTTGCTTTTCTTGTGCTTCAGCTTTCCTTTTTCTGAGTTGTTCTCTGTTTCGCAAACGCCAAGTTCCAATGACTTCTGTAGGATCAAAATAAAAGTTATAGGAGATAGTTACGGATTGCACATAACAGCAAAAGAGTCATATAGCAAAGTGGCAGAATCCCTATACTTGGTATCTAAGTTTTTCTCCTAAGTTTTTCTTTTGAGGACAAGGACTATATCTTATTTATCCCTGTGCCTCTAAGGAATGCCTGGGAACAAACATTTAGTCAACATTTTTTAAATGAAAAGGTCAGTATTTATACATAAGTATGCAACCAACCTATTAATTTCTCCCAAATATTGTGCATATGGTGCAACATAGAAGAAAAAAATCAACCATGTTCTGCTGTCCCACACATTGTAATCTGTTTTCATTTCATTCCTCATATTCATTTAGTCCTTGTATTACACAAAATTGTAATGATAACATAACACAATTTAATCACTTATCAACCTAACAATGTATCAGAAATATTTTCCATCATCTAGTCTTTATAATTATAACTTTAGCAACTACATGATACTAATTAAGTGGATATATTCTCATTTATCAACTCATTCCACTTGTCTTGAATATTTAGGTTGTTGCCAATTTTGGGGGGGGGTTGCCATTTTAGATCAAACTGTAATGAGTATTTCATGCATACAGGTTTTTTATTTTCTTTTGGAATTTTTTCCTTAAGATGATGTTTCTTTAAGTTCTTTGGAATATAAAAGTTATTATCAAGAAGAGTTCTGTTGCCATCCAAGTTTGTGAAAAGTTGAAATGGGTCTTTGACGTAGAACTTCTTAGAGCCTATGGAGTGATTGTAAATGTGCATGGGGATCCCCAAAAGAGAATATGTCCCTTGGACCATGGCACCCTTTGTTCTTAGGACAGAAGCTCTTTTTTTTGTTTGTTTGTTTTTGTCTTTTTGAGGGGAGATAATTAGGTTTGTTTATTCATTTATTATTAGTTATTTTGATGGAGGTACCAGGGATTGAACCCAGAACCTCGTGCATGCTAAGCACTGCACTCTACCACTGAGCTATACCTTTCCCCCAGGACAGAAGTTCTTAATGGTGAACTTGGATGGGGGAAGAGTATTCCTTTATTTTGATCAATCTCCAATTAAAATTAAAGGACCATATCCTTCAATTATGAATGTAGGTAACAAACAATGATAAATTCTAGCAGTGTGTGTCTTTGTCATGAAAAGAAATTACAGATTTCTTTTCATATCACATTAGTTATTGCAGATACCTTAAAATATCATTTATTTGAGATAATATATTTGATTTGATACAATGGTTATTAACTCCACCATTGGATCTTGTTATTTAATACATCTATAAAGAAGCGTATATATTACTATATCACAATTCTTATTTTGATAACTGTATCTTAATATAATTCTTTCTTTTGTAATTCTATGTATTTAATTTTATGTATTTAAAGTATCTAGTCTAAAAAGGGGTGTAGAGGTTCATCAGAATGCCAAAGGGATCCATGGCATAAAAAAGTTTTAAATCATTGTCTCGAGGCCTAGGGTTCTGCAAAACATTTTGAGAAATGCTGCTTTAGGATAGATCCAAAGATTAAGATCAGTGAGCAAAAGAATAAACACTATTATATTTACTATCTATTGCCAGGTCTCTTTCCAAAAGTTACACAACATTTATGTTACCAAATAGGTAAAGTGTACTTGTTTTACCACAACCATCCAGTAGTGAGTGTTTTCATCTTTCATTTATATATTTTATTAATAATTTATTTATTTATTATTTCCTTGTATTTCTCTGGCTTATTGGAATCTGAGCACCTGAAGCCACCTCAGAAAATTATAGAGCCCCAATTTTTCCCACTTAATATATGAACATACCCAATTATGCCCCTTTTTTGGCCAGGTCCATAAAAAGAGGAAAATAATCATAGCCCAAATCCTTCCCAACAGCCACCACCTCTTAAGGTCTCTTCATTACCTGGAACATGCTTCTCTTCTTGATGAGGATCAGGTGTCTGATGAATCATCAGATGAGATTGGTCCTTTTCCAAATCCATCTTGCTGCAATACCTTCTTGCTATTTGGTCTGACTTCCACAAGAAGCCTTTTTTAAAATGTCAAAAGTAACTAACAGTTAAAAACACACACACAGACACACAAGTTCACTTGTCACTTGACTTCCCGCCTAAAAGTTTTATCTGGTTGGACCACAGCTGCTGGCTACTTCTACTTTGTTTATCGTACTGCACAGGTGTGAGCAAGGAGCATGGCTGGTGCTCTGTCCTCATTCTCTAGCATAGTAGCTGGTTATACAGGGAGCCCCACGGCCACAGGCTGATATGTCACAGCCTCCAGTACACAAGTCATTTGGCTCTGTCTGCTAAGAAGTGCCTGAGTCTGGTGTTCCTTTTTACATACAGAGGTGGCATAGTGTAGGAAGAACACCAGGTCTAGCAGCTAACCAGCTCGATGTCCTTGAGCAAGTCGCTTCCCCTTTTTGTGACTCTCTTTCCTCATTTGCAAAGTGGGTAAATAATTCCTGACTTGCCTAACTCACACAGTTCTTGTGAAATTGAACATAATGAAGGTGAAAATTATGAAGATTTGAAATTAATCTTACATTGTTTTCCTGCATATGACATTTTTTCACCTTAATCTTATGCAAAGTGATGGAAAGCTTTGTTATAAACGCTGTTAGACTTAGATAATAGACATAAAGAACTAAATTAGGAATTCAAAGCAAATTTGGACCCGCTTCTGCTCACCTGATCATTCACAGGTGACTCAAGAACTAGTGAAATCCACTGTGACTCATCCAGGGAAGGTCAAAAAGCATTTCTTAGTGAAAATATCAGCACATTCTGTCACAGAAATTAAGTTGAAACCAAAGGAATCGCCCATCTCCATTCGGTCACCCCATTTATGAAGACAAGGAAGCATAGAGGATGAGGATTGTTCACCTAAGAAAGGAACACTGACCACCTCCTGATATGGGCAACCAGCCTGTGAGAGGTAGGCTTAACGACAGGTCTGGAGTCAAAGACTGAACTGAAGAGAGTCTGAATTCCAGAGTTGCCACATTCCCTAATTCAGTGATTTTAGACAAGTTAGATAGTCTTGGAGCCCATTTACCTACCTACAATATGGGACAATATTGGTATGTACTTTGTGGGGTTTGGGGATGATTGAATGGAATAATCCATGTAAAGCATTTTATATGTGCCTGGCATATTGAATACATGGTACCTAGCATATTGAACTTGTTTAACAAGTGTTAGGTGCTGTTGTTAATAACAAAAATATAGTGACCAGATTTTGGTAAACCAATTCCCAGTTTAAATGCACTAAAGAAACTCAGAAAAAAATCTGAAGGGAATCCTTTATAAAAAGAAAACCTTTACGATGTGAATAGATGCTCCCTACTTCCATAGACTCTTAAGGCGTTAGAATTGGAAGAGCTTCCTAAACCGTCTAGTCCCTCCCCCTATTTTATATGCAGAGAAACTGAGAACCGATAAAGGCAAGGATTTAGCTGCCCCAGGTTTTCTTACTTATTGCTGGCAGCAACTGTTACTTATAAAATGGGTCATCTTCTTATGCTTAATTTAACCTGGGTATGAGAATGTATGTGTGATATGAACTATGAGAGAAGCAAGCTTTTCAAACACACTGAAAAGTACTGAGAATTATATAACAAGACACTCAAGTGCCCACCATCAAAACTTAATGCGGGGAGGGAATATCTCAAGTGGAGAATGCATGTTTAGCATGTATAAGGTCCTGGGTTCAATTCTCCGTACCTCCTCTAAAACATAAATAAAAATAAATAAATCTAATTACATCCCCCCAAAAATAAATAAATCAGAAAAAAACTTAATGTGGTTTTTAATTACAAGATCCTAAGCTCTAGCTTGAAGTTTCTCAGTTCCCCCAAGTCTTTCTTGTAAATAAATCTCGAAAAATTCAGATAATATCATGGAGTCCCTATTCAAAGGAGTCCTGTAGGGAATGGAAGGCATAATTTGTCATTTATCTCTTGATAATTTTTGGATTTTCAGAAACAGGGTTTTAAAAATCAAGTACAAGTAGCTTTGAAGATTATAAAAGGCGTTTTATAATGTAAACTGGTATTTTGAAAACTAGTCCCTTTATTTGAGATATTTTGTTCTTACTGATTAGGTTGTTTCTTATGATACTGAAATAAGATAGCATTTCAGAATACTTCTGGGGCACCTTACCAAAGATGCAGAATTGCTTCTTAAATACAATCATCCTTAAAGCTTACAACACCGGGTTCAACGATTCAAACCTTCCTGAAAGCCTACTCTGCGCTGCATACTGAGGAAGACTGTCAGACTTACAAAGGTGGACAGATGTTGGTCTCTGAGTTCTGTGTACTGTAGGTTCATAGAGATATGCACATCTTTATTGGGAGGAAGTAATATTTAGATCCTTTACACTTTCCTAAGTGGCACCCTTCTTAAGTTGACTCCACCCTGCCGCATGTTCCAGTATCTTAGGAGCACAATATTGAGGGACTATATGAGGGTGGGGTCTCAAGTTAACAGTAATGAGGGAGCAATATTGGGTGGAGGGGGCCAGTGGAGGGAGTTTGGAGCAAACTAGATTGGAAGTCAGGCAAGGTGTCCCTCGTGTGATAAGCAAGCCACAGCAGGAACTTGTCTGGGACAAAAATAGCCAGGCACTAAGTTCAAGCCATAGTTCATTGTCCTTTCCCCTCGGTAGTAAAGTCTAGAGTCATGACCAGAATGTGAGATGTTAGACATTAAAGGCTGGATATTTTTAACAAAAGTTGCCTTGTTCCAGAGTTCTTTGCATAGATACATGAAACCTGCCTCTAGGCCCCAAACTCTGAGAGGTGGTTACCACTGCTGATGCACCTTTCTGTCCCCACAGTATAATCCAGTAGGAGGCTTCACCCAGAGTGGTCCCCATAAACACCCTCACTCCTGAATGCAGGGCCGGCCTCGTCGGCGTGCAGACTGTGAAAGTACTTTATATACTCAGAGCAGCTGATGCTGCCATGACTGAATAATAGTAATAATGCCATCATCTGCTCCAGGGCTCTTTCTGCTGTCATTCAGTGGCACTGACCCATGGGCTGGAGATATAGCAGTTAAAAGATAAAAGGTCTCTGCCCTTACAGAGCCTACATTCTAATGGAAAGAGATAAACAATAAGCAAATAAATAAAATATGTATCTGATGGTGATGAGCGCTTTGAAGGAAAGTGAGCAGGGAATGATAGGATAAAGAATGAGGTGGGAAAGCTGATGGTGGTTGCTATTTTAAGCAGGGTGACAGTTGAGCAGAACTGGAGGAGGTGAGGGGCCAGCCAGGCTGCCATCTGGGAGGACACTGCAGGCAGAGGGGCACTGGCAAATGGCCTGAGGCGAGGGAGTAGTGGGGAGGTGTGTTCAGAGAGGTAGCTTATTGCCCCTTGTAGAGATTCCTGCTCTGATAGAGATTAATAGTCCTGGGATGGTTTTGAAGAGAGGAGTGATACCCTCTAACCTATATTTTAAAAGGATTATTTTGCCTACTGTGTTTAGAACAGACCATGGGGAGAGAGGCGGAGGTGGAAGCAGGGGGACCAGTTAGAAGGATCCTGCATAATCCAGGTGAAAGATGACTAAGACCTGAACTGTGACGGGAGTGGTAGAGCAGTGATCAGACTGGAGTAGCTTACAAATTAGGTGTGGAGTGAGCGATAAAGAGTCAAATACTTTAACAAGGGTTTTGGTCTGAGCGACTTAAAAGATCGTTACCATTAACAGAGGAAGACTGGGAGGAGCAGGTCTGCAAGAGATGATCAGGAGTTTAGTTTCAGACGTGCTAATAGATTAGGGAGAAAACAGCAGAGTAACAGCCAGTAAGGTGGAGAAAAACCAGAAAAATGCAGTTTTCTGGAAGCCAGGTGGAAAAAGATGTTTCAAGGAGGAAAGAGTGATCAATTGTGTCAAATTCTGCCAATAGCTAGAGTAGAGAAAGGATTGAGAGTTGTCCTAACAATTCATTTCCTAACAATTTAATTAATTATGGATTGGAGCCCAGAAAGGCTAAGTGACTTGGCCAAGGACAGGCAGACAGGACTAGCTATATAATTTGCAGGGCCCTGTCCAAAATGAAAATGCAGAGCTCCTCTTGCAAAAACTATTACGAATTTCAAGACAGCTACAGCAGAATATCAAACCCAGCAGAGGGCCCTACTGTCACAAGTGTTTCCCTGAATCTCTGTGGCCATCTTATAAAATAGCTGTTAGTATCCTCATTTTTCAGGTCAAGACACTGGTGCTCAGAGTGGAGAGTAATTTTATGGGGGTCACAGAGCTAGACCAGTAGTCTGAGCATGAAACCTGAGCCTGCAGCCTCCAAGTCTGGCCTTCTTCCTACCAGACCAAACTAGGTATCGAGGGAGAGAGTTGCTCTCCTGCCTCTTGATCCATCTGGAGCAGGTACTGAGGCCATGCATTTCAGAGGCCTGACTGAACTGCGCAGATGTGGGAGGGAGGGAAGCACACCACTAAGAACTCCTCCCTGGGGCTCTTTATGATGGGAGTGAAAAGGGAGCACTGGATATTACTTAGTCAGAAACGTGAGCTGGTAAAAGTACCCCAAAGCTAATGTAGTTTTAGGCTATGTCAATAGAATTATAGCAATGAGGGCGCTCAGAGTCCTGCTCCACTTTGGCTTGTCATACCATATGTGGAGTGTTCTACTGTGAAGACCACGTGAACTGGTATTTGAAAACACGTGGGGAAAAGAGCAAGGGATTTGGGGCTCTACCATTTCCCAGCTGTGTGATTTCAGCGGAAATCGCTCGATTCTTTCTGATCCTCAGAAAAACAGAGAAAAAGTAATTCTTCACAAGGATTCTGTGAGGATGAACGAGATCATGAGAGCTTTTTGTAAAATGAAGAGCACTGTGCAGATAGGCATGAGGCGAACTCGGGCAGTGTTGATAGTATGATTAGAGCACTCTAAGGATGCATCAGGGCATTTTCCCAGGGTGGGTGGGAAAGTCAAGAAAGGGAAGATGTAATACACTTATGTTTCTTGGTGTTCTTTCCTTGCCAAAATACTTTTTCAAGGCTTTTGAATTCTTTTCAAACAGTGGATCAAGCTTTGTTTTCCTTAGTGAGGAGAGTTTCTGGTTTCCCTCTCTCCACAGTCTGTTGATGCATGATAAATAAGCTCTGTCTGTGCTAAAACAGATGCTGCTCGACACATGCAGATAACACACTCTGTGACTTCAGAATGGCTGTAACCTGACTTTCAATCTCATTAGTTGCGAAGTCCCTCCTCCGGCCTCCTCCATCAATATTGCTTTCTATTTCTTCATGTATAAACAATAAGGATCTGTGCATAAACATTGGTGGGTGGTCATTTATCTAGGGAAGAACAATTCTGCCCCCACCTTGAGCCCCCATTGCATCACTATCCTCATGTTTCTGAACTTTCGGAACTAACAGTGTACTCTCAAGTCTACTGCTTCTTTTTCCCCACATCACGTCTTCATTCCTTTGCATCTGCAATTCAGTTTTCTCTTCCACATACTGTTCTCTCATAAGTCATAAATGACTTCCCAATGGCCAAGTCCGGTGGTCCATTATCAGTCCTTGTTCTATGACCTCACTGTAGCTCATGAGTCCTCTGAGCACTTCGGTCTCTCTATTCTTGGCTTCTATGGTAATGTGTTCTTCACCCTCTCCCTCCTCTTCTCCTCCTCCTCCTTCACACACTCCTCTTTCACTCCTCAAGCCATGGGAGGTACTTCCCAAGGACGACTCCCTGATCCTTTTCTCTCTTACTCTTCTTAGAAGATCCAACTGTATAGCTTTCACTATTACCTCTATGCAGAAAATTACCTGAGTTCCAAGATCACATTTTCGAGTGTCTCCTGAGTATCATTCCTCACCTGAATGTCCCACTGCACCTTAATCTTAGCACAGCAAAAAGCAAATATGTCTTCCCCCTAAGAGCAGTCTCCTCTGTACTTTATTTCTGCTATTCTTAACTATTCTACTATAGAATGGTAGCACCATGTTCCTGGCCATCAGTTCTAAACCTTCAGAGCTGTCTTTGACCCCACCTCCTCACTCTGCATTCCACATCCAGTAGAACACAGTTCTATGAGTTCATTCTTCCTAGTGTCCCACATGCTCACCCCCTCTCTTCCTTTCCCATACCATCATCCCAGAGGGGGACCTCAGCTTCTCATTGGAAGTATTGGAAAAGCTTTCTAAGTGGTTTATTTGCTTCCATCTCCCCTCACCTTCCCCAGATCGTCCTGCACAAACAGCTAGAAATTCCCCATATAACTGGCTCTGAACTGCTCTCTACCCTGTTCAGAATCCTGTAAAGTCTCAGTATTACTTGTAGAATAAAGACTAAATACATTGGCCTGACTTTTAAAGCCAACTTCCCAATGTTCCCTCCCATCACTTTCCTAAAAAACCCCAATGTTTCAATTAAATCATGCCACTTGCTCTCCCTGTTTGGCCTTGACTCTTTCTAACACCCTTACCTTTACTCACACCTCCTGGCTGTTCAGTGCTCTTCCCTTGTGTCCGCCCATCCAGATGGTGTGTGCCTCCATCACAAAGCCTTTGATGATGACGATGATTATGATGTGTTAGCCACTCTACAAACACATAGTAGGTATCTGACATGTTACACACATTATCTCATTTAGTTCTTCTAACCAATATTATCCCCACTTCACAGATAAGGAAATTATGGTATAAAGACGTTAGGTTACATCCCAAGATCGCATGAGCTTCGTAAGTGCCATAATTCGGGCTCAAAACCAAGGCAGTCTGATTCTGAAGGCCACAGATTTAACCATTCCTTTCTACTACCTTTTCCTACACAGAGGTAATCTCTTCTTTCGGAGCTATAGTGACAACTGATCTGAGCCTCTATTGTGGTAAATATCACATAATTTTAAAAATTTTATTGTTCATGTGTACACATCTTTTCTATAAGATTCATTCAGCAAACATTTATTGAACATTTATTTCTTGCCAGCCCCTCTGCTAAGCATTGGAGACATACAGAAGAATCAAACAGGAGTCCTTTCCTCCAAGGAACTCAGTCTGAGGGTGATAGACAAGTAAACTAAATTTAAAATATAATACAGAATGATCATTTTAATATCAATGTTTCCAAATGTTCTGAGAGTAGAGGTGGAGTGTTTACTTCTGCTGCCACAGAAGTGGAAAAATAAGGATATTATATTGTGTATCCTCCAGCTGTAATTCTCTTTATTCATAGCTTCCTTGGAATGACTCTGCATTGGTCAACAAGTAGACCTGGGAAAATGAGGAGGCCCTATGTGTGTAACACAGTGTTTTGGGGTTTTTTTTTAACTTTACAGTAGTGTTAAGTTTTTCCCCTTTTATTAATTTCACAGAAATAATAATAATAATAGCCAATATTTATTGAACATCTGCCCACCGTATCCCAGACACTGCTCTAAGCACTTTATATACACTAATTCATTTAGTCTTTAAGTCTTTTAAGGTAGATACTATTGATATCCCTGTTTTGTAGATGAAGAAACTGAAGCACAGGCATTGAATCTGTTCCCTAAGTCGCACGCTTAGTAAGTGGCAAAACTGGGTAGTTTGGATCTAAAAGGCCATATGCTTAACCAACCTACTCTCCTGCCTCTCCATTCTACTTCTTTCATATTTAATAAAATAAGGTAGCAATTTGTTTTCTTTTTCGATCCCCTCTCCCTCCTTTCTTCCTCCCTTCTCTCTCCATGCTCTCTCTTTCTGCAATTTGTTGACTATCTACTCTGTGCCCCAAAGTATGTGGGGCCCTGGGGGTACAAAGGCAAATATGCAAAACAGCGTATGTGGAAAATGAAGGGAACACAGAGGACAGACATCAAACCAAGATGGAGAGATGAGGTCAAAGCAGTCTTCCTGGAATAGGTGATTTTAGGCTCAGTTTGGAGGCTGAACAGGAATTCACTGCGACCATGCAGCCAAGCTCAGAGGAACAAACACAGCCTCTGGAGTCAGACCTAAGTTCATTCAAATCAGGTTCTGTGTGGCCTTGGGCAAGTTACTTGAGATCTTCCAGCCTCGATTCCCTCACATACGGAATGGGCATTTTGACACCTACCTTTCATGACTATTATGAGAACTAAGAGGGATGACTTTTGGAAAGCATCCAGCATACAGCAGCCCTTAATGCTCCTGCTGTCATTACTGATTGTTCATAATCTCAATAACAATAAGTGAAACAGAGCGACTAAATAATAAATCCAAGCAAGGCGTGAGAGTTGTTTCATAGATACAGAACTGGAGAGCCAGAGAGGGGCCAATGTCACACAGGCTTAGTGGCAGTTCCGAACCGGAATCCAGATCCTCTGAAAGTTCTACCATTCTCCCTACCCCTGCCTGCTATTCCGAACATTTCTGTCTACAAGCCAATCTACCTCATCCCCTGGCTTAATGAAGTATTTCCCAAACTTTCCAATTACATCCCATCTTTGTGATTTTTTGCCATATTCTTGTAATAACATCTTCGGTAGTGTTATTTACTTAATGTTTTTCTTCAAATAAGCTTATTTACTAGCAGTATTTAAAATGGAAATGTTCTGTCACCATTGTAAATGGAAAAGCAACAGTATCACCTGTGAAATCACAGGTTTGTGGTATAACAAATTATAATTCTTCTAAGGCACATTAAAATACTGAACTATTAAAATAGACAATGTTTTATCTGAAATTATCTGCACTGTCCCAAGTGGAATGAATGCACACCACCTCTCAGGAAATGCTGGCTTAATCAGTGAGTTCTTTTCACTTCACAGAACTTCTAGATCATGTCCAAATTATCCTAAAACCAAACTGCCCTTTGCAGTGACTGGTTTATAATTTAAAAGGGACAGAGCAAGAGACCCAACTCATTCCCTGGCCTGCCATGGACCCACTGTTATTCATATCAGATACTCTCCACAGGGTATAAAGTTGAACAGTAACCTCTCCTATTTCTGCTCTTTCTTCACCCCTTGGAGTTTTAGCTACTCTGGCATAGAATATGTACTAAGACCTAACATGATGCTTTAGTCTTAATTGTTTGGAAACTTCAACTCCCTGCTTCCAGCAAATTCTATCCCCTGGACTTGAAGTTTAGAGTTAGAATGACCTAGATCAGTCCCTGCCTGAAAGGAAACACTGCTGATGCACTGCAGCCTTCCAAATGGTTCAGACCCAGTGCCTGCCGGGGGCCTGGCACAAGGTGTGCATTCAAGTGAACGGTCCTCACCTGAACCAGTTGAGGTCAGGGCACTCTGGCTAGAACTGCCGCCCCTAGGTGGACATAAATGGCAATTGCACCATTCTCACCTGTCAACTAGGTTGTGAGCCTTGGCTCCAGCACTTTCCCTTAGAGGCAGCCTGCCTTGCTCCCTAATTCTCTGACACTCTCTGTTCCCCCTCCCTGCAAGTCCCCCTCTGGGTGAGTTAGCATCGGGGATGTTTGCATACCAAACACTTAGCTAATTGATATTCTATCACAATCTGTTCAACAAATGTTAGGCTTTTTTGTATTTCGGGGTGTGTGTGTGTGTGTGTTTTGCTAACACTTTGGTTATATTTTTAGCCAGGTTGGAGAGGAAAGAGAAGGAGTTACTTCAGCAGGCAGAAAATGGATTGCCAGGTCTTTTCTCCCTGGCGTTCTCCTAAGTGACTGTGAGCACCTTTAACAGATGGAGCTCAGGATGTGATCAGATCTGATTTTATCAGCATGGATCCTGGGCAAGTTCACTGTGAGGATGAAGACTTCCTTTGTGCTTCTTTATGTTCTGTGTCGTCACCCTTTTCTGTTAGTACTCTCATCTCATTTTAAGGAAGCCGGCCCTGCTCAGCCGTGAGAGATACCTGTGTGGGAGACATGCAGCAAAGTCTGATGTTCCCCTGGAAGAAAAGACGATCCAGGCCTGTCCCAGAACTGTGTAATGAGCCCTCCCCTCCCCATCAGCAAGAAGCATATCTTATTCTTAAGTGTCAGAATGTTCTTGGCAGTCAAGACAGAAATTCAAACAAACCCAGACAGAATAGCCATCTTCAGAGACTACCAGCATCACCCCGAATTACCCATAACTCTTCTAACTGATGGGCTTTGTCTTTCTGATGAAAATAAAATAGGATGTTGAACATTATTATTGCCACAGTCTTTGTTATTAAAATTGGGTGCTATACTTTGCTTCTCAGGAAACATTAATAGCAGCAATTATCACCCTGAAGAGTGTGTGGTGCAGCAGACAGAGCCTGGACTCCTGGATTAGAAGATAAGTAGGGTATCTGCTTCCACAGAGCTGCTATTAACTTCTGTTTTCAGCCAGTTCAGATGGGCGTACAATGCTTTGTTCTCATGCAAGGAGACTGGACAGAATTATTAGGCAGAATTTATGTAATTTGGCCCACCCAACCAAGACAGACTTTCTAGAAAGTCCTACACCTCCCCTGATCTGTGGAAAACTCCATTCCCATATCCCACCACCAAATACGGCACCCACATGGATTCAGTCATCTCTCTGAGGAGGAATGAGGAGAATGAACCTTCACTAATCCAGTCAATTTAATTCCCCTTTAATGGGAGTTAAATTAAGATCTCAATAATACATGATGACAGTTCTGCTTTCTAGTCTTGTATAGAAATTCTGCCTTTAGCTCTAAATTCTAGTTATCCCTGGCAGAAGAAGTGAACAATTGATCAAGTAACAGAGTTGCCATACAGGAGGGAGTAGAAGTGGAAGGAATAGACTGATGACTAGGTGATACAGTAAGTAAGTAACAGGCTTGAGACTTTTTGGTAAGTCAGTCAGGGATGCTTGACTGGGCAGGAGACCTATTTGTTTGGGAAATTACTTGCAAACTGATAACTGTACTTTACAGAGTTACGTGAACCTAGGACACAGTAAACACTAAATTTCATAAAATTTCATAGCTGGAAGAAATTTTTAATGTCATCTAGTCATATTTCCCAAAAGATGTCTGAAAGCCCTGTACGGACTCAATTTACTAGTAAATGTTTCTGATTTTTTTAAATGTTTTTAAAGAAAACCTCATAGAGATTTTTTTTAAGTAACACCATATGTTATAGTTTTGATGATTACTTCACAACCCCGGGATAGTCACCACATTTCTATGGGCCTTTGCTCAAAATGTGACCTTGGGCAAGTCACTTCCCTTCTCCGGATATTAGTGTCCTTCTTGACAAATAACAGCCCCAGCTCTGTCCTGCCTGCCCCTCAGGTTGGAAAACAGACTCAGTCTTGGTAACTGCAAGATATGGTGTCTTTTCTAAAACATAATAGGTGTTGCTACAGGTTCCTACAGTCCCTCACCAGCAACATCCCCGTGCTAAGCAAGGGTAGCCATGTTTCATCCCTCTGCATCCTATTAAGATGTGTCTCCTCCTCACCTGTAATTCCCCTGACAGAGTTACCCACAAATGGGTCCCTACAAGAGCGTTTTCCAAGGGGTCTTGTTTTTTCTTTTTTTAATTTTTTTCAGTTGAATGAATTTTATTTTGTTTTATTTTAAAGGGGTCCTGTTTTTTCATGAAAGACAAGGGATGGGCTTGTGCGGGTCGCAGCATGTGGAGGGAACAAGCAGCAAGCATACAGGGAGGTTTTCAGGGGGCACAGCTGAAAGCCTCTTGCTTTCCCCCACATCCTCAACTACCAGGGCCACTTGTCCGTAGGCTTCTATCAGCGTGGGTGAACCCTAAGGAGCGTGGCAGCAGCAGACCACGCAGAGGACCCTCATCGTCTACATTTTCGGTCTCAGCAGAACCTCATGATGGCACAGATTGTCGTTCGTCCTA